GCGTACCACTAGGTTTGTACTGGAACACAATGAGTGAACATATGGAAGGTATTTAAAGGCCGTCGGGTTTTGCCATTTAATTTCAAAGAATAGACTCTGACAAATAATAACATATTAACATACTCTATTAGGTCAATACACTTCCAATACCCATAGACCACTTGACCTCCGCGGTCACCACCCACACTCGTAACTTCCGCCTAGGTCCCTAATACAGAATGATTACTACAACGCTCCACACCCGGTTAGTCTTTCATTCAATACTCACATACTGCAGACTTAACTTGGTCACTAAGATCACATCAGGTTCTAGCATAGCTGTCTGCTACACTTCGCTGCTGCCACAACCGGAGATCCAGAGGACTCTGGAGGACTTTTGTTTGATCACAATACTAGTCACCCTTCTTAGTAGTAGTAGGCATCCGTCAATCCCGTGGGGTTATGGAGCTGTGCCCTGGGTGTCTATTTGTTGAAGTCTAGTTGGATGCAGCGCCTGCTGTGGCTGTGAAGGCCAACCCGAGAATGACAGTTCCGACAGCAGCGAGCACAGATAAACGCCGAAGTGGGTGTGTCTGAAAGTGGTCGAGACCTCCTCTGAAATCTATTATCCTCCGCCTGCCTCTTCAGTTCATCCTCGAATTGCTGGAGTCCCTTCTGCACTTTACATCTCTAGGCAGATCTGTCCGCAGCTGCTGCCTCCCAAGAGTTGATGTAGATGTTCATCTGCTTGAGGTCGCGTTTGCAGGCTTCTTTGAAACGCAGCTGAGGTCTTCCGGTGGGTCTCCTTCCTGATGCCAGTTCTCCATACAAGAGGTCCTTCGGTATGCGGCCATCGACCATTCGTGTGACATGTCCCAGCCATCGCATTCGTCTCTGCTTCAGGAGAGTGAACATTGAAGGGACTCCTGTTCACTCGAGTACAGTGTTGTTGGTGACGTGGTCTTTCCATGTGATGTCAAGGATGCGTCTCAGGTTCCGCATGTGAAAGGTATTAAGCCGTCTCTTTTGGCGAGAGCGCAGGGTCCAGGATTCCGAGCCGTAGAGAAGTGTACTCACTACGACCGCCATGTAGACTTGTGCCTTGGTGTGTACTGTCAGTTTGGCATTTCCTCAAACGCGCTTTGTGAGCCTGGCCAGTGTTGTTGCGGCCTTCCCGAGTCACCCTTCTTACACCTCTTATTACACACATTTTGTTAAATGTCGAAGGTAAAATAAATATCTTACTACACCTGGGGTAGCAGAGTTATGGGGCGTTAGGTAACGGAGCTCTCTCTCAGCTGGGCTTCCAGCTGTGGTGAAGCTCTTCTTGATGATTTCGTTACCTTGAATGTGCCTCGAGTGCCATTACCCATACATATATAATGACTTGAGATACATGTGACATTACCATAAGTTCGTATAAGTAAACCAGGCACTGGAGAATATATATAGTAGTAGGCATCCATCAGTCTCAGGAGACTATGGAGTTGCACTCTGGTTGTCGTTCTGGCTTTGCGCCCTGGACTCTCCAGGGCGCAAAGCCAGGATAAATTGATACGGAGGAGAAGCTGTCATCCAAGCAGCAGGTCCTTCCTCTCCACGGCGTCGAAAGTCTCCAATGAGAAGGCAAGCGCCAATTTGACTTGTTCCAGCGCCGTCACAGGAGCTGTGTGCTCCGGAGTTGACTTCGAAGTTGGTGAAAGAAGGCACAGGTATCCCAAACCTGGAGACCGCCGTGGTCGGGGTCGAATCACCCCAGCAAAGGCAAGAACGACCCCAGCCTCCTGAAGCAGAGCTTGGGCCACACGAGCCCCAGGAGGTAAACGTCCCAGTCCCACACCTACGGGTTCCAGACAGAGATCGTCACAGCCTTCTTTCACCAGAGGCTGGCTTCCTTCAAGACCAAGAAGGTCTTGAAGGAAGACGCAATACGTCAATATATATATACGCAATGACTTAAGAAACAAAGAATACTCTCTCAACTGCAAAATCAAGTCACAAGCCTCATGAATTAGGCAGAATAGTGTAAAATGAATACTTATTAGTCACTAACATCAATATATATTTACTGAATCAACAGTCTCTGATTAATGAGTCTTGCCATGTAGAATTAGGATATATTCCCCTTGACAACATGCAAATACTGTAGAGTTATTTGATAGTGTTATGTTAGCAGCACATAATTATTGTGACTATTATAACCCCAGTTAGTGGATCTGTGCGGGTATCCTCAAACATGGCCTCCTCTGCATGGGCCGTGGCATATTTAATCCAGTTGATATAGGGAGAGAAGCTATTGCCCAAGCCGCAGGTCCCCCCCCCTCTCCATGGCGCCGAAAGTCTCCAAAGAGCCCCCCAGGTGGCGAAGGCCTCAAGTGGCAAGGGCTCCCAGGTGACGCGCACCAAACCCTGCCAGAATCACACCTTCACCTGTGCACTAACTATAATCTTGACGTCACTTCCAAAGTGTCCCACTCTATTTGTTCTTACATGTTCCATGTTATCAGTCGCACACAGTCTTGACTCCTCTGAACAGTACTCCCACATACTCCTGTCTCACGAAACAAATGTTTCCACATTACATTACACTCACAATAACTCATACGACTATAATTGTCTTCCAACAATGCAAATTACTTACATTTTGAATGTTTTTCTAAAAGATAAAATAAAAAAATAATATTGAAAATATAATTTCACTAAAACAGACCTTGTCTGTAAACCTGGAGGCATTTGGCACCATTGGGGCCCTCGTCACCTGAGAACCTTCGCCACCTGGAGGCCCCACCACCCGTGAAGGCCCTCGCCTACATGGGGGACCTTTCGCCTCCATGGGGGACCCTTCGCCTCCATGGGGGACCCTTCGCCTCCATGGGAGACCCTTCGCCTCCATGGGATCCCTCGCCTCCATGGGAGCCCTCGCCTTCATGGGGGCCCTCGCCACCAAGGAGGCTCTTTGCCGCCTGGGGGCCCACGTCACCTTGGGGGCCCAAGTCACCTTGGGGGCCCACGTCACCTTGGGGGCCCACGTCACCTTGGGGGCCCACGTCACCTGGAGAGCCCACGTCTCCATGGGGGCCTTCGCCACCATGGAGGCCCTCGCCACCATGGAGGCCCTCGCCACCATGGAGGCCCTCGCCTTCATGGGGCCCTCGCCTTCATGGGGCCCTCGATACCTGGGAGCCCTCGGCACCTGGGGGCCCTCGCAACTTGTGGTTTAGAAATCGCAACGCCTAAGGCCGACCCTGTGTCGGTGGAGGGAGCGTGCTTTCCTGAATCTGGAGTGTTGGAACGTAGCTGTCAGTTGAAGCTGTTTTCTCACTATCATATAATCGAGGTTCGTCACAATCTGCTCCTAACACACCTGGTCACACCAAGCTGTACCAGACCTATGAGTCAGTCAGAAGCAATAGTGGAAAATTTTCTTGTATTAAAAAAACTTCTCGTACCAGTTGTGCGGATGACCGCATATGGAGCAGCGTTCCTTGAAGTACTCCTCCCGAGCGTAGACATTGGCCATGACCCTACAATCCTGGTAGGCGCCCAGGCCCAGGCACAGGCAGCCGATGCACCCGAAGGGAAAGGGTAAAATGCCGAGGGCTCCGGCGCCAGTTATGTAGAGGAGCGGCGCCCAGTTCCACTCTGCATCGGGAGGACGGATTGTGACTAATGAAGGATGTCGGCACTTCTTGCAGTCATCGCACATCTCTGTTTTTCCTGTCTTCATCAGTGTTGCAACTCTCACCTTCCTGGTGTCGCCAGGGGCGTCTTTATTGTTGCCAGTGGTATCTTTATTGTTGCCAGTGGCATCTTTATTGTTGCCAGTGGCGTCTCTGTTGTTGCCAGTGGCGTCTCTGTTGTTGCCAGTGGTGTCTTTGTTGTCGCCAGTGGCGTCTCTGTTGTTGCCAGTGGCGTCTCTGTTGTTGCCAGTGGCGTCTTTGTTGTCGCCAGTGGCGTCTTTGTTGTTGCCAGTGGCGTCTTTGTTGTTGCCAGTGGCGTCTTTGTTGTTGCCAGTGGCGTCTTTGCTGTCGCCAGTGGCATCCATGCTGTCGCCAGTGGCGTCTTTGGTGTCGCCAGTGACGTCCTTGTTGTCGCCAGTGGCGTCCTTGTTGCCGCCAGTGGCGTCTTTGGTGTCGCCAGTGGCGTCCTTGTTGTCGCCAGTGGCGACTGCAGCAGACGTTGCGAGCAGGGCTCCGGTCAGGTGGGTGGCGGCGGCATACGTGCCCACGAAGACCAGGGGGAGCAGTGGTGGGCCCAGGAGGTGGAGGTACCCACCTGCAGGCAGGCCCAGGGAGTGGAGCTGAACTCTGAGGTACAGGTGGTGCCACCAACGCTGGTACAGGGTGAGGGTGTGTACCATGTTCACCAGCACGCCCTGGATGGTCTGCTGGGGACCAGGAAGCTGCAGGTGGCGCACGAAGGACACCACCCGAGTCCACCAGCTGCGGCGGCGCTCTAGCAGCTGCTGCAGCGCCAGGTTCTGCCTCTGCAGGTCAGCACCCAGGCTCATAGCTGCCCTCAGCGCCACCCCCACCAGCAGCCACCACTCAAGGCGGGCCGCGCACGCTGCCTTCCTCCCAAGTGACCCACAGTGAGGCTTCTGTAGCCCTTTCAGCCTGGCTGGGCCCATCGACGTCAGTACCATCTGCACCACGACTAGCACCGCTACGAGGGTCACTAGCACACTGGCGGTGAGCCAGCACCAAGCTCCACTGCTCGCCCACACCACAACGCCTCTCTCTGATAACGTTTCACTCATTGTTAAACTGATAATATTAACATTAACAATGATATGTAATTTCATGTTTAATAAAATATTATTTTGGAGTAAAATGAGATGTTAACACCCTTCGCTTGGGGCAACTTCCTCCCTCTCCTTCCATACCCTTAAACCCCCTTTCCCCTCCTGCCCTTAAATCCCTGTCATTCACCCCTCTTCCCCATCGTCCCCCATTAAGGCTCAACGTCAGCCGGCCGTGAGCCATGGGAACGTCGCCAGCTGAACTTTCACTACCGGGATGATGAGTGAGGAAGGTGGCGCCTCAGTCTTGACGCGGGCTTCACCACACCCACACTGCCTGCACACCCCAAGGTGCCTGCACACCCACACTGCTTGCACACCCCACAGTGCCTGCACACCCACACTGCCTGCACACCCACAGTGCCTGCACACCCCACAGTGCCTGCACACCCATACTGCCTGCACATCCACATTGCCTGCACACCCATACAGACTGCACTCCACACAGTCATATTTCCTGATATATTCCTCGCTTGAAGAATAAGATCTGATCGTTTGGAATGTGAAATTACAGCATTTGTGTGACAGTCATCATAGTACAGAGACTTGGTGTGAACAACCTGTCAGTTGTGTTTACCTGCGCCGGCTAAGCTAACCGGTTTGGCATTATCAAGATGCGGCGAGTGTTGGTGCTGGTGTGGGTTTACACCTCGGCCGCTCAGTCACCCTTCTCACTGTTGTCAGACCTACTGGAAAACCCTTCGGTTTGACCAAGAATTTTTAGCTCTTCTAAGAAATTATAATCCAACGGAGAGAGATGAAGACAATAAAGAGGAGCCTTCCTCTGCAGCTAACTTCTGGTCCGGCCACCAGGGTGAGAACCCAGCAGACAACCAGGGTGAGGGCCCAGCAGTCAACCGGGGTGAGGGCCCAGCAGACAACCAGGGTGAGGGCCCAGCAGACAACCAGGGTGAGGGCCCACCAGACAACCAGGGTGAGGGCCCAGCAGACAACCGGGATGAGGGCCCAGCAGACAACCAGGGTGAGGGCCCAGCAGACAACCAGGGTGAGGGCCCAGCAGACAACCAGGGTGAGGGCCTAGCAGACAACCAGGGTGAGGGCCCAGCAGACAACCGAGGTGAGGGCCCAGCAGACAACCGGGGTGAGGGCCCAGCAGACAACCAGGGTGAGGGCCCAGCAGACAACCAGAGTGAGGTCCTAGCACACTGTGGGAACCGACCTGTGAGATTTATATTTATTTAATTTATATGAATTTATATTTACGTTAATTTATATACTTCGATAGCAATTTGTATAATGATAAGTGGACTGTATTTCTGCAATAATCTCTTAATCTCACAAATCGATCCTCTACACATTAGGGGGGGTTATTAAATTAATATATATGCAGCCAATCAAACTACAGTAATAGCTACATACATTGATGAGGTTCCTTATCTTATAGTACAGCAGGTTAGTCCACCAGGTATAACTAGGGTGTAGACACCAAATTATCCTCTTTGAGGTAGCTTCCATATCACCCAGTAACTGGTGCACAAATCTTGCATCCTCGTCTTGACCTGTCAAAAGTGCGCTAGCTGTGAAGCCAGAATCCTATATATGACAAGTATATCAGAGAAAACAGTACATGGAACATGAAGACCTGGCTTAATTACCTTTAGTTTGAGGCTTCCATGTGATCTAACCGGGTCACCCTATATAATGACATTAATGGCCACTAATGATAAATAATGGGTTTCGGAAAGAACACTTAACTTGATTTGTTGACAGCGTGTTGACAGATGGTACACCTTTGGTATCCATAACACTACGTCCAAGTAAAATTAACAGGAGCCGAATTTGCTCCCGTGTGAGCCTCTGGTCTCGTATAACAACAATGGCTGCCCTCCTTCCTCACTCTCGCCTGGCCTACTTTGTCCAGATTTCAGAAAGTGATAGAAGGGTCACATTTACTCTACTTTAATATTGATAATTAAGTTAATTTATATAAGATGTTTTTATGATGGTAAAGTCCAAAGACTAATGTATTTAAGAATAATTCCCACCATAATAGGTGGTGAATTATAATAGTATGTGGTGATGATATCCCGTTTTCTTTAGATGGTAATTCCACTACAAGTTACGTTTTCTATGGGTAACTTGTTGGTAATACAGCTATTATCTGTATGATTATTAAATGGTGTCGGATTTTCCGACATAATTCCCCAGGGGGCTGCTCACGGGTCGAAGTCCTAATTAGAACAGACGAACACCGATACTCCTCCTTCGAATTATTAGATTAATTTGATGTTAGTAGTTAGTAATCACACATTTGTGTGTCTGTTCGTACAGGACGGATGTCCCGTACTAGAGTTGCAGGGGTTAGAAGTCTAATGCGATTTCATTTCCCTGTCAACTCTTGAAAGGCTAATATTCAAGCCTTATTACATATTATTTAACCCAGAAGACTGGATGTGATCAAGTACTACAGTCAAGTATGATTCAGGGACTGCAGTGAGATCAGTGACATTAGATATAACTTGAAGTTTCTTCAGGTAACTGGTCACTGATATATAAACACTGAGGCCCATGGAATACATCTTGATTAAATAATAAATGTATCAAATCAGTCATCAGATTTATTGGGGTTTAATTTAGTTAATTGATTCAGAAGATTGAATAGCTCATCATTAAAGTAAAGTATGGTTCTGAGACTGCAGTGGGTTCAGTGACATTGGTCGCAGTGACTTGTAGCTGTTTTAGGCTACTGTTCACTGATTTGCCACTGAGGCCTCATGAACTCATCTCCAGCTTTAAATGATGATACTAACATCAACCTCTGTTGGTATAGTCAGCTGTAATCTCCTTAGTATAATGCTACTGGAGAAATATAATCAGCTGACAAATTTAGATTTCTATTGGTATTGTTTATCTGCAGGCATAGGTCTCCTCAGGCTTGATACTGGGCCTGAGAGTAATTTACCTCCTGCAGAGTTTAACATGGTTATACCCTGATATTTAGTAGGGCTACCGATGAATCGATGACAATAGTCTGTCCCTACAAGGAGACCGAAGTCGGTGAGGTGATCAGACTTAATATTATCTGCCAATTTTATTCCTCTATTTCTCAGGAATTTGGCTGTTGCTCTCAGACCTTGAACTTGTAGGTCTACTGGTATTTTGTCCACCACAATGGCTTGTACTCGACAGACGTACCTGCCTAAGCGTACTGATGGTTGTACCACCTGGTAGACTTGAGGTCCTGCATCTGTTACAAACCCTGAGATGTTGAATGACATCTGGGCTACAGGCCTTAATTGTAATTCATCTGCCAACTTTTTAGTGATATATGTTCTCTGGGATCCTTGGTCAAACAACCCACGGGTATGGACCTTGGCCCTCTTATTCAGGATGGTAATTTGGGCAGTAGGCAAAGTCGTATTACCTTTAGACTTTGCCGATTGGACACTCTTTGTTGGTTGCACCTTGCAGTACTGTACTGTGGTGGGAATGCTATCTTCCACCTTGGGGTTTGGAGACGTTGTTTTGGTGTCTCTGCACAATGCTGCATGGTGCTGACCTTTGTTACACCTATTACAGGTGTGTAATTGGGTATCACAGTCGTTGATGTTATGTTTCCTGAGGCACCTCGTGCAATGTTGCAAATCTTTGAGTCGCTCAACACGGGCGTCACTATCAGGAAAATTAGAGCAGTGGTACATTGAATGTTTCTCATTGCAGAACAAACATGTTCCATAGCTTCCAGTACCCTTTGGTGTCACGTTCTTGGGTGACACAGTAACTATAGGCTTGGAGGGTCCCACTGCATATACGCCCACACTGCTACTGTTCCACTTTGGTGTTGAATTATATTGTCTAGATTGATTTGGAGTACCTTTGGTACTCTGTGGTTTACTATTATTGGTTTCTGAGGGTTTACTTGGTGGTTTTAATTTGTCATGTGTTCGTAATTGATGAACTACTGACTTTAAACCTTCAGATATTTCATTCATGGATAAGATGCTTTTATTGTAATGAGCACTCATTTGTCTCAATATGTCCCTAGGTATTTTCTCCTGGACAATTATTTTCAAGACCCACTCAGCCCCGTTTGTATCTGCTGTCAGGCTGAGGGCATTGATCAATGATTCTACCTCCAGCTTGAAGACTTGGAGTGAATCAGCTGAAGCCTCCGGTGGGGGTAAATGCAACAGCTCATGAACTAAATGTGATGTTCTTACTTCTGGATCAGCATAATTATCCTTGAGGAGTTTTACTGCCAGATCATAGCCGTCATTAGTTAATCTCAGATGGGATACTACTGTTTTAGCCTCACCTGATAATTGGCCTTGCAAATAAGAGAATTTACTACTCTTTGGTAAAGATTGTTTTGAGTCTACAAGGTCAACGAATTTGTTCCAAAATTCGTCCCAATCTTCCTCATCTTTTCCTGAGAAAGTGGGTAAATTAATTGGAGGGAGTCGAGCTTCTGCTTGACTCGTATTAGATGCAACTGTTGTTGTTGTTGCTGTTGCCTTGTTCTGGGCAATTAATTTGACATAAGGCTGTAACGTGGCCTGAGTGTGATCTTCATAATTCGCAAGATCAACCATAATGTCGTCTATTTCTGTTTCTGATAAATTAGTGTTGGCAAGTTCAGCCACATATGTTGCTATTTGACATTTGATTTGCTCAAATTTACCTGCAGCTGCTTGATAATAGCTTTCCAGGTCAGCATAATCAACTGTTGATTGTTGTGACAAATCTTCACATTTCTTGATCTGTCTTGTTAAGTGGCCTTTAAGACCTGCAAGGGTTCTTTTCATTCTCCCTGCATTATCCATACTGGCTCGTTGGTGAAGCCTTGTGGGGCTTGTACTTGGGCTGCTCATAATACTGAACAAGCTCTAATGGTAGCCTAGGGTAAATTCTGAACTCACTAGGCAATAATCCTACCTCTACTAGAGGTTAGCACTTAAAATTAATACACATTATATATATACAATCATACACACTAATGATTTGAGTGATAAACCAGTGTCACTGGAAGTACCTTTAGGTTAGCTCTTCTATATCACCCTAGGATGGTAGAGACACTAATTAATCACTCAAAGGTGTAATGATCATAAGTAATTTATTATATATACAACTCAACTCGAGTTGATAAAAATTACACCCAAAATAGGGTCTGGACCATTCATTAATGGTGTTAGGTTGTTCAATATAGTACAACTGACTATAGTAATAATGGGACTAGGATGAACGATAATAGTTCAACTAGTCAATGGTTAATATCCTACCCTGTTGTGGGTTGGCAATTAGTAAATATTATACTGTGATCACTAGTGCAATATATATTAAATAATTCTCTATTTTGGAGAAATAATATACACAATTATTGATAATAGCCTCTTAATTAGCCTCTATGAAACTTCTAATATTATCTAGAAGTATTAAATATTATTAGTGACCTCGCGAAATAAAGTCCACAAAATTCGTAGATAATCTCTCGCGAAATGTAACACCACGAAATCCGTGAACAATCTCGCGAAGACACAGTCACTAATTTGGCTGGATTCTATATTAGCGCTGTCATTTCACGAAATAACACGCCACCAAATATCTGTGGGTGTGCATGAAACCGCTGACGAAGGCTGAACTGGGCTGAGGGAGGCTCCTGAGCTCCCTCGAGGCTTCGCCGCTGTCTTGACTGGCTGGCTTTGTTTAAATAACACTGCACTAGTATATTTAATGAATCCACTGGTTAACTGGTTCATCCGGTACTAAGATGACCAAATGTGGGTTCAAAGGATCAAATAATCCGTCATCCGGTTCGAAGATGACCAAATAATGTGGGAACCGACCTGTGAGATTTATATTTATTTAATTTATATGAATTTATATTTACGTTAATTTATATACTTCGATAGCAATTTGTATAATGATAAGTGGACTGTATTTCTGCAATAATCTCATAATCTCACAAATCGATCCTCTACACATTAGGGGGGGTTATTATATTAATATATATGCAGCCAATCAAACTACAGTAATAGCTACATACATTGATGAGGTTCCTTATCTTATAGTACAGCAGGTTAGTCCACCAGGTATAACTAGGGTGTAGACACCAAATTATCCTCTTTGAGGTAGCTTCCATATCACCCAGTAACTGGTGCACAAATCTTGCATCCTCGTCTTGACCTGTCAAAAGTGCGCTAGCTGTGAAGCCAGAATCCTATATATGACAAGTATATCAGAGAAAACAGTACATGGAACATGAAGACCTGGCTTAATTACCTTTAGTTTGAGGCTTCCATGTGATCTAACCGGGTCACCCTATATAATGACATTAATGGCCACTAATGATAAATAATGGGTTTCGGAAAGAACACTTAACTTGATTTGTTGACAGCGTGTTGACAGATGGTACACCTTTGGTATCCATAACACTACGTCCAAGTAAAATTAACAGGAGCCGAATTTGCTCCCGTGTGAGCCTCTGGTCTCGTATAACAACAATGGCTGCCCTCCTTCCTCACTCTCGCCTGGCCTACTTTGTCCAGATTTCAGAAAGTGATAGAAGGGTCACATTTACTCTACTTTAATATTGATAATTAAGTTAATTTATATAAGATGTTTTTATGATGGTAAAGTCCAAAGACTAATGTATTTAAGAATAATTCCCACCATAATAGGTGGTGAATTATAATAGTATGTGGTGATGATATCCCGTTTTCTTTAGATGGTAATTCCACTACAAGTTACGTTTTCTATGGGTAACTTGTTGGTAATACAGCTATTATCTGTATGATATTAAATGGTGTCGGATTTTCCGACACACACAACCGGGGTGAGGGCCCAGCAGACAACCAGGGTGAGGGCCCAGCAGACAACCGGGATGAGGGCCCAGCAGACAACCAGGGTGAGGGCCCAGCAGACAACCGGGGTGAGGGCCCAGCAGACAACCAGGGTGAGGGCCCAGCAGACAACCAGGGTGAGGTCCTAACAGACAACCAAGGTGAGGGCCTTGCAAACAACCAGAGTGAGGGCCCAGCAGACAACCGGGGGTAGGGCCCAGCAGACAACCGGGGTGAGGGCCCAGCAGACAACCAGGGTGAGGACCCAGCAGACAGCCAAGGTGAGGGCCTTGCAAACAACCAGGGTGAGGGCCCAGCAGACAACCAGGGTGAGGGCCTAGCAGACAACCGGGGTGAAGGCCCAGCAGACAACCGGGGTGAGGGCCCAGCAGACAACCGGGGTGAGGGACCAGCAGACAACCAGGGTGAGGGCCCAGCAGACAACCAGGGTGAGGGCCCAGCAGACAACCAAGGTGAGGGCCTTGCAAACAACCAGGGTGAGGGCCTAGCAGACAACCGGGGTGAGGGCCCAGCAGACAACCGGGGTGAGGGCCCAGCAGACAACCGGGGTGAGGGCCCAGCAGACAACCGGGGTGAGGGCCCAGCAGACAACCGGGGTGAGGGCCCAGCAGACAGTGTCTGGCGCCTGAAGTGTGCTGCTCGATCTTCCTCCACAACGAACTCAGCCAAGGAGCACGCATTGCTTCACGACCGTCTGCTGAACTTGCGAGGTGGCTTTGCAGAATCACTTCGGGGCCTGATGGCTCCTGCAACTAAGAGCGTGAGTCTAACAACTCTTGCAAGAGTAGCTGAAGCTCCGCGAATAATATCAGTTGGAGAGGTGGGAGAATTGCCCCATCAAGCACTCCAGCAGCCATTGTTAGCCGCTCTCAAACAGGGCAGCCAAAGTCTTCACGTCAGCACTTGGGTGATACCTGGTTGATACCTGGTTGATGGGGTTCTGGGAGTTCTTCTACTCCCTAAGCCCGGCCCGAGGCCAGGCTCGACTTGTGAGAGTTTGGTCCACCAGGCTGTTGCTTGGAGCGGCCCGCAGGCCCACATACCCACCACAGCCCGGTTGGTCCGGCACTCCTTGGAGGAATAAATCTAGTTTCCTCTTGAAAATGTCCACGGTTGTTCCGGCAATATTTCTTATGCTTGCTGGGAGGACGTTGAACAACCGCGGACCTCTGATGTTTATACAGTGTTCTCTGATTGTGCCTATGGCACCTCTGCTCTTCATTGGTTCTATTCTACATTTTCTTCCATGTCGTTCACTCCAGTACGTTGTTATTTTACTGTGTAGATTTGGTACTTGGCCCTCTAGTATCTTCCAGGTGTATATTATTTGATATCTCTCTCGTCTTCTTTCTGGTGAGTACATTTGGAGGGCGTTGAGACTTTTTGGTGTCTGCCTGTCCCAAACTTTATGACAAGGTGGAGCTCAACTGTGCCATCCACCGGGACGCTCTCGTTGCCACTACTCTTGTGAGTATTGATCAGCACTCAGGTGTTGCTCAGCACATCTGAGCACTCAGGTGTGCTGGGCACGTTTATCGTTCATACCGAAGCTACCTCACATTGTCTCTTCCTCAGCAGATGTGTGTGTGTGTGTGTGTGTGTGTGTGTGTGTGTGTGTGTTTAACATGTGTACAAGTGTTTCTCCCAGCTAGGCCTAAGCATGTGGACACTTCTGAGTGGAAACCAACCAAACGTTACATGAAGGTCCCTTATGATGTTCAGTCTACCTCACATGTTCCCCTTATGATGTTCAGTCTACCTCACATGTTCCCCTTATGATGTTCAGTCTACCTCACATGTTCCCCTTATGATGTTCAGTCTACCTCACATGTTCCCCTTATGATGTTCAGTCTACCTCACATGTTCCCCTTATGATGTTCAGTCTACCTCACATGTTCCCCTTATGATGGTCAGTCCACCTCACAGGTCGTTCCCCTTATGATGGTCAGTCTACCTCACACGTCGTTCCCCTTATGATGGTCAGTCTACCTCACAGGTCGTTCCCCTTATGATGGTCAGTCTACCTCACACGTCGTTCCCCTTATGATGGTCAGTCTACCTCACAGGTCGTTATGATGGTCAGTCCACCTCACAGGTCGTTCCCCTTATGATGTTCAGTCCACCTCACAGGTCGTTATGATGTTCAGTCCACCTCACAGGTCGTTCCCCTTATGATGTTCAGTCCACCTCACAGGTCGTTATGATGTTCAGTCCACCTCACAGGTCGTTATGATGGTCAGTCCACCTCACAGGTCGTTCCCCATTGTCTTGTTGTGAATGTTGGCCTCTTGCAGTGCGTACTGAAGCCCGTGTGTGCAATGACTATTTATATATACTATGTGTGCCTGATTGAGCAGTTAGCTCTTGGACCCCGCCTTTGTAATCTTCGGTTGTCCGGAGTACTGACTCCCGACCTCTTTCCACCATCGCATCTATTACAAATATTTATCTCCAACACACATCCCCAGGAAATAGCCCGTAACAGCTGTCTAACTACCTGGTACCTATTTACAGCTTGGTGAACAGGCTCATCAGGTCAAAGAAATTCTGGCCATTTGTTTCTTCCTCGTCCGGGAATCGAACCCAGGAACTTAGGACTACGAACTCCGAGCGCTGTCCACTCAGCCACCAGGCCACTTGTGTGTGTGTGTGTGTGTGTGTGTGTGTGTGTATACTGACCTATTTGTGCCTGCAGGACTCAGCTCCAGCTCTTAGACCCTGATTTTCTAGCTGAGAGTTGACTAAGGCATTGACTTCTGCAGTATGTTGTCTAATGCAATGTGTGTGTGTGTGTGTGTGTGTGTGTGTGTGTGTACTCACCTAGTTGTACTCACCTAGTTGTGTTTGCGGGGCTTGAGCTCTGGCTCTTTGGTCCCGCCTCTCAACCGTCAATCAACAGGTGTACAGATTCCTGAGCCTATCGGGCTCTATCATATCTACACTTGAAACTGTGTATGGAGTCAGCCTCCACCACATCTCTTCCTAATGCATTCCATTTGTCCACCACTCTGACACTAAAAAAGTTCTTTCTAATATCTCTGTGGCTCATTTGGGCACTCAGTTTCTACCTGTGTCCCCTTGTACGTGTTCCCCTTGTGTTAAATAGACTGTCTTTATCTACCCTATCAATTCCCTTCAGAATCTTGAATGTGGTGATCATGTCCCCCCTAACTCTTCTGTCTTCCAGCGAAGTGAGGTTTAATTCCCGTAGTCTTTCCTCGTAGCTCATACCTCTCAGCTCGGGTACTAGTCTGGTGGCAAACCTTTGAACCTTTTCCAGTTTAGTCTTATCCTTGACTAGATATGGACTCCATGCTGGGGCTGCATACTCCAGGATTGGCCTGACATATGTGGTATACAATGTTCTGAATGATTCATTACACAAGTTTCTGAATGCCGTTCGTATGTTGGCCAGCCTGGCATATGCCGCTGATGTTATCCGCTTGATATGTGCTGCAGGAGACAGGTCTGGCGTGATATCAACCCCCAAGACTTTTTCCTTCTCTGACTCATGATGAATTTCCTTTCCCAGATGATACCTTGTATCTGGCCTCCTGCTCCCTACACCTATCTTCATTACATTACATTTGGTTGGGTTAAACTCTAACAACCATTTGTTCGACCATTCCTTCAGCTTGTCTAGGTCTTCTTGAAGCCTCAAACAGTCCTCTTCTGTTTTAATCCTTCTCATAATTTTAGCATCGTCTGCAAACATTGAGAGAAATGAATCGATACCCTCTGGGAGATCATTTACATATATCAGAAACAAGATAGGACCGAGTACAGAGCCCTGTGGGACTCCACTGGTGACTTCACGCCAATCGGAGGTCTCACCACTCACCGTAACTCTCTGCTTCCTATTGCTTAGATACTCCCTTATCCACTGGAGCACCTTACCAGCTACACCTGCCTGTCTCTCCAGCTTATGTACCAGCCTCTTATGTGGTACTGTGTCAAAGGCTTTCCGACAATCCAAGAAAATGCAGTCCGCCCAGCCCTCTCTTTCTTGCTTAATCTTTGTCATCTGATTGTAGAATTCTATCAAGTCTGTAAGGAAAGATTTACCCTCCCTGAACCCATGTTGGCGATTTGTCACGAAGTCCCTTCTCTCCAGATGTGTTACCAGGTTTTTTCTCACGATCTTCATCACCTTGCATGGTATACAAGTCAAGGACACTGGCCTGTAGTTCAGGACCTCTTGCCTGTCGCCCTTTTTGTATATTGGGACCACATTCGCCGTCTTCCATATTTCTGGCAGGTCTCCCGTCTCCAGTGACTTACTATACACTATGGAGAGTGGCAAGCAAAGTGCCTCTGCACACTCTTTCAGTATCCATGGTGAGATCCCATCTGGACCAACAGCCTTTCTAACATCCAGATCCAGCAGGTGTCCCTTGACCTCCTCTCTCGTAATTTCGAACTCTTCCAAGGCCGCCTGGTTTACCTCCCTTTCTCCTAGCACAGTGACCTCACCTTGTTCTATTGTGAAGACCTCCTGGAACCTCTTGTTGAGTTCTTCACACACCTCTCTGTCATTCTCTGTATACCTGTCCTCGCCTGTTCGAAGTTTCAATACCTGTTCTTTCACTGTTGTTTTCCTTCTGATGTGACTGTGGAGTAGCTTTGGTTCGGTCTTGGCTTTGTTTGCTATATCATTTTCAATACTTTTCTCTGCTTCTCTTCTCACCCTGACGTACTCATTCCTGGTTCTCTGGTATCTCTCTCTGCTTTCTGGTGTTCTGTTATTCCGGAAGTTCCTCCACGCCCTTTTGTTCAGTTTCTTCGCTTCCATACATGCCCTATTATACCATGGATTCTTCTGTTGCTTCTCGGATTTCGCCCTTTGGGCCGGGATGAACCTGTTTACTGCCTCCTGACACTTTTGGGTAACATAGTCCATCATACCCTGTACAGACTTATCTCTGAGGTCTGTGTCCCAAGGTATTTCATTTAGGAAACTTCTCATCTGTTCATAATTTCCCTTTCGGTATGCCAGCCTTTTGATTCCTAGTTCTTTTTTGGGGATATAAGTCCTAGCTCTACCAGGTACTCAAAGTTCAATACACTGTGGTCACTCATTCCCAAGGGCACTTCCATCTTAACTTCTCTTATATCCCACTCATTTAGGGTAAATATCAAATCAAGCATTGCTGGTTCATCTTCTCCTCTCATTCTTGTTGGTTCTTTGATGTGCTGGCTTAGAAAGTTTCTTGTTGCCACGTCCAGCAGCTTAGCCCTCCATGTTTCTGGAGGGCTAAGTGTGTGTGTGTGTGTGTGTGTGTGTGTGTGTGTGTACTCACCTAGTTGTGCTTGCGGGGGTTGAGCTCTGGCTCTTTGGTCCCGCCTCTCAACCGTCAATCAACAGGTGTACAGGTTCCTGAGCCTATTGGGCTCTATCATATCTACACTTGAAACTGTGTATGGAGTCAGCCTCCACCACATTACTTCCTAATGCATTCCATTTGTCAACCACTCTGACACTAAAAAAGTTCTTTCTAATATCTCTGTGGCTCATTTGGGCACTCAGTTTCCACCTGTGTCCCTTAGTGCGTGTGCCCCTTGTGTTAAATAGCCTGTCTTTATCAACCCTGTCGATTCCCTTGAGAATCTTGAATGTGGTGATCATGTCCCCCCTAACTCTTCTGTCTTCCAACGAAGTGAGGTTTAATTCCCGTAGTCTCTCCTCGTAGCTCATACCTCTCAGCTCGGGTACTAGTCTGGTGGCAAACCTTTGAACCTTTTCCAGTTTAGTCTTATGCTTGACTAGATATGGACTCCATGCTGGAGCCGCATACTCCAGGATTGGTCTGACATATGTGGTATATAATGTTCTGAAAGATTCCTTACACAAGTTTCTAAAGGCCGTTCTTATGTTAGCCAACCTGGCATATGCTGCTGATGTTATCCTCTTGATATGAGCTT